TTCAAGTGCAGTGATTTTATTTTGGCATCAAGTGTAGAAACATCGGAGACTTCTTTGTCTTGTAGACATAAAAAGGATGATACTAATGGTGATAATTTGTTGCCTCAAGATAAAACAGAGAAAAATAAAAAAGTGCATACAGTGACAAAGAATTTATGGGAAAAATATGGTAATTGTTGTAAAGTTGTGCTATGTATATTCTTAGCACTTTGTTTGGCAAATCTTTTGTTTTTTATCATCCCTTTTAGTAATTCTAAGGATAATTCAAAGACGGATGTATCATTTGCTCAAGAATCAAATCTACAAAGTAAACCATTTTTGATAACATACAGTAGAAGCGATTGTGAAAAAAGAATAAAGTATGTAAGCAAAAAGAAGAAAAATGAAAAATTTATCTCCAAATCGGGATCTAATTGTTTTTACAATTCGCAAAAAGAAATTCCACGTATTAATGCAAAAGATAGTGTTTTCCTCTCAGAAATGTATGAAACTGGACCGCATTTCAAAGAAACTTTATTTTTTGATTACAACTTATCTGATTCTCCAGAAAGGATATCGCTTTACAATTTTTTAAATGAATGGGTTTTTAATCGTAGAAAAAATATAAGTATTTTTATGCAATTTTTAAACAAAGAAATACAAGAAATTAAAAATTGGAAAGCAAGTCTTTTTGATAATTTAACAGAAAATGATATTTGTGAATTTTATAAAGCCATTTTACCGAATAGCTGTTTCGTACCTTCGGATTTCTCAATTGATACTTTTATTAATGTTTTTGTAAATAATATTCCGTTTGCAAAAATGGAATGCAACTTGTCAGAGAGTAGAAACTTGGAATGTTTTTCTACAAATGAATCTACTGTTGAAGCATGGAAATTTCATATTGACAATATTTTTCAGAATGACGAAAAAAAAAATGATTACAAACTTTCAATTAGCCAATGGAATTATTCAGTTTTTAAACTCTATAGTTTACTATATAAAAAAAATAAAGAGCTAGATGCTACAAAAACCAAAAATCTTCAGGATTTAGAATTTTTCGTTGAGATGTTACACGATGAGGAAGCCAAATGTATAGAATACATTAGAAGTAGATTTGATGCTCCTTTAGAGCAATATAAAAGTTTAAAGGATTCAAATGTTAATGTTGACATTCTTTTGGATACAATCTTTTATGGTGAATACCAGGATTTTGTTTGTAAATAAAGTTCTTTTATAAATTTAAAGTTTATATACTAGTTTACAGCATCTCGTTTTAACGAAGTTTTAGCACCATCCTTTTTCCTCTAAAAATGAAATTTGAAATGTAAAAACAGAAAAATTTTAAATAAAAATTTAATGTACTTGCTAATTTTTTTTAAGCGGATACAACCATACACTAGATGAATATTACAATAATTCTTTAGTAACATATATCTAACCAAATGGCGATTAATCGGTTTTTAAGTTCTACACCTAAAAGGAACAAGTGCTTTTAAAGCAAACCAAGTTCCTTCTATAGTATTTGTGTGTACACCGGTAGCATAATCTTTAAAATGCCTACTATGATTTACAGTTTTGTAATTGAAATTATATTTTTTAAGATTACCATATCCTCTTCAGCAATCGCTATAAATTATAGTACCAGGATTGATGAAATTTTTGATTTTCGTCTGCAAAGTAAATTTCGTATGGCTGTTAACTTAAGAAAGCAAAATTTACTTTTTGTCTTCTCTTTCCACAAGACCAATAATCCAAAATCCTTCTACAGGATGGCCTTTGTTGTATTTTTTGCAAAAACTTTGATCCATCAATTTCTATTATCTCGTTTTCATTTCCAATAGAATTAATATTTTTGTAGATTTTTTCAACCAAAAGCACAAACACTATACTTTAAGAATTAGAAACACATCGTCATGATGCAACTAGCACGTGAACACTTTTTTAATTTGTTTGTTTAAAAAAATATGTTTACATAATCTTTTATGAAGGGTTATGGTAAAACAAACGAGAGCAAGCAGAGAAGTCTGCAAAGTGAGTACTTTGATACTCAAAACAACAATTTGGATACAGAAATGTATTTAAAAGACAAAATTAAGCATGTTTATGCTGATGGTAGCACTCCTAGAGTTTGCTACAAGAAAGATCGAGAATTACAATATTCTCTCAACAAATTAAAAATTCTTTCTGAAAGAAT